CCTATTTCAAGGGGAGTGGGACTGTTTAGTCTGCTGGGCACATTCCTGGATTTTTAAAATAAATAGCAGATTATGAGCGACTTAGCCTGATGCTGTCATTGGGCCAGGCCACAGGCTTCTGAGCCGTCCCTTAGGAGGGAGCAGCAGAAATAGAAGGTTGGAGGTGTTTGACTTGGGAACTCTGTCCCAGCCATAGTTTAAGTGGAGAGGCTTCTAGCCTTCTCTGGGATTCCAGAGAACTTCTAATAATATGACTGATAACAGCAATGATGATAATAATCATACCGCACATTGAAGGCACTGTGTGTCAGACACAACGGTTACCATTACTCGGCCCATTATACAGATGAAGAAACTGAGGTTTAGTGGTGTGAGATCTCAAAGTTAAATGTCTAGCAAGTGGCTATGGGTTAAATGGAGATCAGTCTGATTCTCAGGCTCTAGTTCTTAACCACTACACTATATTGCCTTCCCAGGCTCTGAAATAGAGAGCTGCAGCCCATGCCCCCACCCACCCCAACATACACACACACACATACACGCGCACGCGCGTGCACGCCCCCATAACCAGCCTTTCTGCTATTCCCAAGGCCCTTTCCAGCCTGCACGGAGCCATTCTCCACTGTGACTCCCTTTTTCCATTTCACCCTTCGCTGGATCATTTTATGCCTCTATTCCCTCTGCTAATTCAAACTAATTAAAGTATAAAATAGAATAATTGCTTCCATCCCCATACTCTTTCCCATCCACGTTGAGGACAGAGCTATATTCTTTATCTGGGAGTGGCCAACCTGACAAGTTGGGTGGAAACTGGGGCTATCAAGTTTCTTTTCATCTTCTCGCTCCGTTTTGCACTTGGCTCGTCGCCTGACTTTCCCTGGACTTGCTGACTGACTTCCATTAGACACTGAGGATACGGGAGAACTTGTATTCACACCCACAGCATCTGTCGATCTGCTGTTGAGGAAGCCGGGGCGGACTTTCTAGGGAAGAACCAGGCATCCTATCCGTGGGGCACCTGGGCAATTAGCAGGATTGGGAAATCAGTTTCCAAATGTTCCCCTGGGACTGGCCGGCCCTGGATCTATTAACAGTCCATTAACATTGGCTTGTTAGGCAGTTGCACTAGCGACCCAACACTTCTTACTAGTCCTATTTCTTAATTATGTGTAATTAACTGAGAGAGGGGGAGGGAGCGAGAATGAATGAGCTATATGGGATCGCTGGAGCTCTGTAAGGAGATGCAAACCTCTCCAGGCAGAACTTGAGGCCGGAGACTTGGATCTACACTCCCATGGTGCCAAAGATACAACAGGTGCCATGTTTTGGGGAAGCATCAAGAGGGACAGAGAGACAAGAGGTGGGGATGAGGTGAGGGCTGGGATGACAGCAGGCTGCACAGAGATTTATTAGAAAGTGAGGGGAGGGCGCCTGGGTGGCTCAGTTGGTTAAGCCACTGCCTTCGGCTCAGGTCATGATCCTGGAGTCCCGGGATCGAGTCCCGCATCGGGCTCCCTGCTCGGCAGGGAGTCTGCTTCTCCCTCTGACCCTCCCCCCTCTCATGTGCTCTCTCTCATTCTCTCTCTCTCAAATAAATAAATAAAATCTTTAAAAAAAAAAAAGAAAGTGAGGGGAAGCCCCATTCCCACGATGTCTTATAAGGTCTCAGGTCTTTCAGGAACCTCCAAAGTCTTAAATCACTGCCTCAAAACAGGAATACACTTATCCTTAACCAGCCAGCATTTTCCCTCTTTCTGCAGTGGTCACCGTTCAGGGAAGAAGTTCACGTGGGCACCCATGGCCTCATACAACTCTTGTTCCAAAAGTTCTTCATTTGGTCTAACCTCAGGCCTGTCTACTGTAGTTTTAGTGTTGTCTTCTGGACATGGAGAAGAGTCTCAATACCAACACCTTAGACAAGCCTCTTTAATATGGAAAGGAGTCTAGTGTTAGATTTGTTAACCGTTATCTCTAAAAGGGAGGAAACTGAATCTCTGAGAACTTAAGAGTGTAAGCCATCCAGCTCATTAGAGGTGGGCCGGGACTAGAACACAGACCCCCAGGCTCAGCCTGAGGCCTACTGGATGTGCCCCACAGCCACTTTACTTCCCCTTAATCATCACTCATGGTCACCACCCTCCTGAGCCGGCATCATAAAGGCCTGAGAGCTGGAAGGGGCCACACAGAGGCTCAATGATCAAGGGTTTGTGTGGCGTGTGAGGCCGTGGGAAAGAACCTCCCCTCTGCTGAATGGAGTCTCACGTTGACCCGAGTGAGGCACAGTGAGGCCAAGTGACTGGTTTAACGCCACGTGGCTATGAAATGTTGAGACGAGATCCAAAGCAGAGCTTCGGACTTCAGAGACAATCCTATTATCTGAAGCAACTATTTCATGACCTGGGAGAGGGTCATGCTTCCAGATCTAGCAACAGCTGGACTAGAACCCAAGCCATCCAACTCCATCTGCATCACCACCCACTAAACTGTTTCTTGAAAGATGTCCGAGCTGTCTGTGAATATTCTGTACTCAGAGTTGCTCGGCCTCAGACAGATGGGCCCCCTGAGCTGTTCTTGGCCCTCATCCCTGGGCCCAGCCCCAGGTGAAATCACCTAGCTACCTATTTCTACACGATTTACAGCTCTTGGGGTGACAGGTCTCAGAGCTCTGCCACAAATCCCCCTTAGACTCTGCCCACTGATCACAGCTCCACCTGGCATGGGGAGCTCTCTGGACTGATTTCTCACCTGACTGGAGACAGGCCCCATGGCATTAACCCCAAATTCTTCCCATATCTGCTCAGTGGGACTGGCTACTGCCGAAGCCCTCTGTTTGGTGCAGATTGTAACGAGAATGGCACAGCGGTGGCAGAAGGTGAGGACAAAGGCCAGGAGATTTAGAAATAAGCTATGTGGACACTTGGTAGAGCCAGGGCTGATGCTCTCAGAGGTGACACCGGCTATGATCTCAGGAGGTCATCCCAGTCCCCGAAGGCCACTCACTAGTCTCAAGCTCTGACTCAGGCCCCTCTCCTCTGGCCACATTTCGAATGTAATTTCACAAAGCATCCCATTTGAGAAACAGCCAAAATCTGAGCCTTGGCATATTCTCAGTTCCATTAAGCCCTCACTGATCACTTCTATTTGCTGTCAATGCTTTTCCACACACCGGGCTCAGAGAGCCCAAGGAAGAGTTTTTACCCAGAGTTACCTGGCTGGTCCTCAGCCATACATAATGTGTTCTGAAAATATCACATATATTGGGGGTCTGTTGGATCCCTCTGATCATCATTTTATCCACCTATCTGGACTGCCATCTATCCATCTATCCCTCTGTCTGATTATTATCCTGCAGAAGCATCTAGAATGGTGTTCACCGTATGTTAACATGGTGTTACATTTTGGGCAGACCCGACTGGGGACTCACTGCTATTTTCTTTTCTGTGTGTATTGCTGGAATTTGCATGGTGAGCATCTACTGTTTCTGTTTAAGAAATAACCTTATGTCTATAAATAGAGAAAAAAAGGAAGAAAAGGCAGAATATTTATAGGCTTCAGTGGGATGTTACAAGTAACTGGCTTCTTGTCTCCCTCCCTTGTTAGACTGTAAGCAGCCTGAGGGTAGTGGCTAAGTCCCATTCATTTTAAAGTTTTCCCAGCACACTGTTCCCGAAAAATATATTCCCAGTAATGGGCTTTGTTAGGGCCCACGGACTGTTTTATTAGAACGAGACAACAGTGTTTATTTCCAACTGTCCTACCCACCGTAGGTTAGGCTAATTCTCCCCCAGCTCCACCAAATTCCCATCTGCACCTGTTTACGCCTCGACTGCAGGGGCCATATGAAAGAAGGTAAAAAGACAGGTGGGTTCAAGGGGGTCTGGATACAATTTGCATGCAATCTGCATATGATTTGTGTCATCTGTTCTCAAGAAGTAATTTTTGAGTTAGAGCTGCATCACTGCTTCCCTGAATGCTGTCGTGCCCATTTGTCTCTTCCTTCCTCCCTCCATTCTTCTCTCATCCCCAGATTCAGAATTCTTACATTCAAAAAAAATGAGGAAACGAGAACTCTGGGCAAGGTGGTGTTCATCAAGTACACCAGGAATCTTTGCAGAGTATTTTGGGAATGACAAACACTCCAGAGCTGGGAGGCACCTCGTGAATGCTCACTGGTCTTCTAGCCCAGCATCTTTGTCTAGCCTAGAGTCTAGCCTAGGTTTTGGTCAATGCCAAGACCATGCTCCTGCTGAACAACAGTAGACTCACTGACTGAACGAATGGAAGGAACCAGCCTTTCTTAAGGTCTTTGCTTTGCTTTTTGCATCCCCATTAATTTGTGAATCCTCTGTTTTCCCTGCTTCTCTTGCCCATCACCATGGCTCTCCTGCATCTACCTTCTCTTTGCTCACATGTATTCAGAGCAAATACACTCCGGGGGGGAATAATGCTCCACCAGAGAAGGTGGGGAACCTGCTCAATGGTTACCCGCAGAGGGTAGAAGTCTATTTCTCAGGCCAACTTTGGCTTCCCAGAGCTGGCCAGCTTCTACTGGCATCAGTCTATGACTCAGACCAAGATTTTTATCTCCTTCTGGGGCCCTATCTTGGGTCTGTCTCTCCCAGGATCAGGCCCAGCCAGGAGGCCTGGATTATTTACACTTCTCTGGCTCCCTTGAGCAGCAGACTCTGTGGGCCCGGGAGCTGTAAATCTACCTCCTAATCACACCAAGCTGCTCCATGCAGTCTGGCCTGTTCTTGCGGGGCTGTTCATCACACACTGAGACAGGGGCTGTGGCCTGGAGAGAAGCCTCCGGGAAGTGGCTGGCCCCAGTTTCTTCTCTCTGGCTCCCTGCAAAAACCTCCAAGGACTCTGCCTCTCCCTGGACCCCTGAGCCACAAACCCAGAGGTCTCTCTTGTTAGAAGAACAGTTTCTGAACAAAGGTCACAGGTTATCAGTTACTCCTCGGCTTTGAAAAGAAGGGATGGGTGTCAGCACTTACCTGTCTCTCAGACATGATGTACAGGTAGCGCTCATCAATGGAGAAGGCCATGTCCCGGAGGATGGGGCTCCCATCTTTGAGCACAGAGACCATCTCGTACTGGACCCCTCCATGGGGGGGACCATCGGCTCGAATCTGAGAAAGAAACAAGGCATCCTCAGCATCTGTACTCAGCAGTCCCCTGCTTCGGCCTAGAGCAGGTCACTTTCCTGAAGTGGTTGTATTTCCCGAAGATAATTTCCCCCACCCGACCCGCAGTTGCTACTCTGAACCAAACTAGGCTTCAGGGAAGGTAGAGGTGCTTTTCAGTTCAAACAGTGGGCTGTTTGCTTCCACCAAGAGCGATCCTTTCCCAAGTGGTCTGAGTGTGCCAGGTCTGGGATTTCTGACGGTAGGTTCATTTGTGTGTGCGTATGTGCCCTAAGAGGCAATTCTGAATATCCCAATGTGGTTACTGTTGCCTGTGTCTACATATATTTACAGCACTGTGTGGAGGGTGTGTGTGTGTGAGTGTGTGCTTGTGCACACTTACTGCTGTTTGGGGTAGGAGAGTCAACACCTGCTCACAGTGTTTCTGTCTCAGGCGGGTGAGGAAGAATGGGTAAACAATCATATAAACCATTAAAAAGCTGGTCATCAAGAGATTCAAGATTTTAGAATCTCAGGAAGGCCTTTCTGCCCCCAAACAGATCCCCTATATGTGTGCAAATTCACCCTGGGATTTTGGGGAGCCAGGAATCCTGGATCAGACTCTTAGAGCCCAGCTCTGGATAATAAGTCAGAAAGAAAGGACTCAGACACCATCAAGTTCACTGCTTCTCAGCCCTGGCTGCACATCAGAATCGTCGGGGGAGTTTTAAAAGATACAAATGCCAGGGCTGAATCCATTAATCAGAATCTCTGTGGGTGTGGCCTGGGAATCTTCTTGGGGATTCAAAGCTCCCCAAGTGAATCTGATGAGTGGCCAGGGTCTAGAAGCAGCGACGGAGTCCAGTGGTTTTCAAGGTTGCATGCCTTGAGAATCACCTCTGGGGGCTTAGGAAAACACATTGTTGAGCCCGCCCCTGAGTTTCTGATTCAGCAGAAATGAGGCTTGAGAATTCTCACTTCTAACAAATTCCCGGGTGATGTGGAGGCTGCTGGTCTGTGGATTCGAGAGGGCTAGTCTAAGCTCTGTGTAGACTCAGCGGAAGACGGTCCCTAAGGTCATACAAAAAGCTGGTGTCCGGGAGTCCTGGGTTTGAATATGCTCCTGCCTTCACGCTTCTTGATCGGGTAACCAATAATCCCCACCCTGGCTTGTTTTCTCTCTCCTCTGCCCATCTACACCCCCTCTAGCTCAAGCCCTATTTCCTCCATGAAGCCTTCCCTAATCTCTCCACCACACTAATTGCTCATCACCCTGATGCCTTTTTTTTTTTTCTATCAGACATTTTGTCTTAGGATTATAGTCAATTGATCTGTTCATTGTATATGTACTAGCTACCATGTATTGACTACCCACTCACATTGTTCTCTAATTGCCTCACAAGTGCGTAAGTCTGTCAACACTGAAGACAAGGATGTGTTTTCTACTTCTCTAATAACCCTCTGAGGACTCGAATGGGTTCAGGAACCTGGCTGGTGATGGATAAAACGGGATGCTTAAGAAATACTCGTTGAAAGGACATGAACTATGAACCCGCTGATAAAGTCTCGTGAACTCTAGTGCTAAATCAAAGTGAGATTCAAAGGCATTTTCTCTGGAAGATTGTAGGATTCAGGTTGCCCCCTCCCCACTCACATTCCCTTTCATTTTTCTCTTGTACTTCTAACCATGCCTTTCCCTCTGCCCATTTCTTCCACCACACCAGGAGCTCCTGAGGGCCAGGACCATGACTTATTCATCCCAAGGGCCACACTTGGTGCCTGATGCCACGGTAAATTCCCCTTTGCCCTTTCTCTGCCTAGCTAGTGGCTTCCTACATTCAAAGCCATTGCATCCAGGGGAGGGGCTTGGGGGTTCATTTACTTCATTCTCAGAGAGTGGAGGAAGACTCTGGGGTCAGCAATGATGTCGTGAGGCTGAGGTTACTTGTCCTCTACCCCAGCGCAAATACGGTTATGGATTCAAGCAGAGGGAAGGGTCTCTACCTGGGAAAATACCCCACAATTAAAAAGGTTCCCCTTAACATTTGAAGCAGCATTCTCTCTTAGATGGACAGATCTGAAATTTCCTTGGGATCCTTTCAGAAATATAGTAGTTTTTAGTCAATAAAGTTCTTGGGCTATTGCAGAAAGTAAAGAGAAGATGTGATAGTCTTGGCTTCTGGCTGGCTTGACCTCAGTTTTCTGTCTCCATTATATGGGGGAGTTCAGGCTCTATTTCTTCCTTTGAAAGGGAACTGGTCGAGGGCTTCTCATCACCCTCCTTATAATGGCTGCTTCTCTTCAAGGAGATTTAAGTCTCCTCAAGGTACTGGCTCCGCCCAGGAGCTGTGGAACCAGTACCCTCCCTCAGGCCTGAACCAAGATCTCCCTGCCCCGAGAGGCTAGTTAACATTCTACCAGCTGGGGCGGCCTCCTCCCCATGAGCCCGGGCACCTGCCTGCCTCCCTGGCAGGGCCTGGACACAAAGTCAGAAGGAGGAACTCCATCAGCCTGGCCTTCCCTCTGTGGTCCCCGGGGTGAGATGGTACCCACGGCCGGCTTGGAGCTGGAATTGAATCAAAGTCAACTTATCGTCACACTCTCTGCTGTGTCCCACTTAGGACCAATCCCAGCCATTAACTTTTTCCTGAATCAGAGATCTACGCAGGTTTTTTTTTTTCTTTTCCCATCTGCAACCCCAATCTTTTAACAAAGCAATTGAAGCCAGAATCAAACCTACCTACCTTTCAAACGTCAAAGCTAAAACCAAACCAGAACAGAAATTGTTCTTGGTACTGAACCTGAACTAGGCGATCCTATTTCATTCAGTCTAAATCCCTGGAGGGAAGAGCACTATTGCCCCCCCACTTACTTCCTCATCCCATGCTATCTGCCTCCAGCTTGTGTAACCCTTAGAGACACCTGCCGGAGGGCAGAGAAGATGGAGGATGGGGCAGGAGGCCAGGGGCTCAAAGGGCACGGGCGGGGGGAGGCTGGCAGGCAGGCGGCAGGAGGGGCCAGGTGGGCAGCAGGTAGCAGAGATCTTTCCCCTCCCTGACACCTTGTGCTCCCTCTGAGCATGCACAGCAGTGGGCAGAGTGTAGGTCTGGGATGCAGGGGGCCTGGGTTTCTGTTCGGACTCTGTGCCTGGGCTTGAGTTCTGCCTAATGGTACAGTTTGCGTTCAGATCCCTCCCCTGAGCCTCAGTTTTCCCTTCTGGATAACAGGCCAAGGTGATCTGCTCGGTGCCGGCCACAGGAGAACCACAGTAGCAAGTACTAGAGCTGTAAAGGCTTGGGAGCTCACCTCACCTAAGCTCTTCCACTCCAGGCTCGTGGCTGGCCAGTGGTGGAACCGGGGCTCAGAGAAGAGTGCATGGCAGATGGAAACAGTGCCCCGTGACCACTGCCGGGGACAAGGGTCCTGTCGCAGGGCAAGCACACGGGTTCCCAGACTGCTCTGCCTCAGAGAGAAAGTTTTGAGGTTCAAAGTTGTCTCTATCCTTGCCAGGCACAGGATGGTAGCAGTGTGGTGACGACAGTCTGGGAGTCTCGAGCAAAGGTGGGATTTTTAAATCCGACCAATCGAGTCTATTCGGGGCTGTCCCAGAATAACCAAACTGCTGTGACACAGTTTTCAGCTTTCAAGCTTGTGTCCCCAGGGCCAGGTTTCAGTGACCACAAGGACAACAGTGGACTGAAGTAGATCACGAACCTGTCCAAGAGAAGGGTGTCAGCAGCCCAAGCTGCACAGGGCAGGGGAGGAGCTGGGGCAGAGGAGAGAGGTGACACACACGGGGACACGCGAGTCACCTGAACATGTCTTTCTGGTTGGGCTCCTCCGCTCCTGAGAGGGCCTGGCCTCAGTGGGCACGCAGCAGCTATGGAGGCCATTTTGCTTGGGCAAAGCTCACCAGGTAGGATAAGAGGGCCAGTCTGCTGCAGTGGAGGGTGACGGTCTTTACTGAAACCCGCAAAAGACAGAAGGTGCCCACACTGTCACGTAAGGAGATTCAGGCTGGTTCTAGTGAGAATTCCTGTTGCGTAGAGCCCTGACTGCAGGATGAGTGGCCGCAGGACCCTGCAACCTTCTCAGGAGGGTTTGGAAAACAGGATAACTTCTTTTGCTTCATGGCTCAGCATGGCCCTACCTGAAGGCGGTAGCAAGGACCTGGTGAATTTTCGAAGGGTTCCATTTGCCTCAAGAATTAATAACAGCTACCCAGCTATTGCTCTTACAATGTGCCAAGCGCTGTCGAAAGTACTTAACAAAAATCAACTCTCTTATCCTTACAAGAACCCCTGACGTAAATGTTCTTATTATTCCCATTTTACAGATAGGAAATTTGAGGCCTGGGAGAGTTAGGTGGCGTTCCCAAGATCACACAGCTAAAGGGCAGCAGGGCTGGGATTCCCACATACAGCCTGATTTCTCAGGCGCTCTGTGACTCTCTTAGGAGAGGATAATAACGGGCAAATGGAGTTGTTCATCGCCGCCAGGAACAGAACAGACAGAACAGACCGAAAGGCCGAAAGTCCGAGTTCTCTCTTCACCCACCCTTCCTCTTTTGGACCCCAAGGCCCAGACGGGGCAATCACCCATTTCCTGGAGTCAACAATAAACTCAGAACCTAATTTTGAGGGACCTTGGTTGGGGGGAAAACTCAGTTTATCAGGGCCGTCTGTGGGGTAGGAGGATGGGAGGTGCAGTCCAGGGGAGAGCAACTGCCGGGCCCTCCGCGTGGCAGGGGCCTCTGCTAACAGAGAAGGAACTAGTAATCCCATTAGGGCTTCCCTTTAAACCACAGCTAGGCCTGTGCAGAAATTAATGACAGCCTCTTTACTTGAACATCCAATTCAAATCAGCATATCCAATTCCAATTAACTAGCTTACCTGTAGGCCCCTCCAAGCCCTTTTTCTTGTGCATCACTTTCTTCTATAGTTAGCTCTAAATTATGGAGCCCCTACTTGGGATTTATCACTCTAATATCACTTTATTAATAGTA